CCAACTCCTTTGCTCATCTTTCTAAATATTTTTCAACTATTCTATATTGATATAGACATTTGGTGCAGCCCACTAGGAACATTAGCATAATCACCAAAGTTGCATTGCACAAATACTTCATTTGCTAAATTGATTATATTCATGTCAGTAATTCACAACCCAGTTATTGTATTGTAGTTTTTTAATAGAGCTGGCATGGTACAATTAAAGTGTAGGTTAATTTAATGGCCATACATTTTTTGTTTCTCTATTAAACATTTTTCTCATAAGCTTTCCAACAGAAGATATGTAATAACAAATTACAACATTCTCTATATTGCCATCAAGTCTTACAGTCAATTTTATTAAATGACCGAGGCTGATAAACATCTATTAAATTTAAAACAAACATTTAGGCTTATTATGCAAAACTAGAACATAAATTAAGGTTAAAAGGACAATCCAGTCTTTTCTGCATTAATTGTTTTGCCTGCACCCTCAATTTTAAAAACTTAAGATTCTCCATAAAGGAAGCACTCTCTACAAGAGATACTTAACAAAATGGTGGTGGAAAGATGCTTTTAAAAAGAAAGGATTCTTGGCTATATCTTTGCATGGATAAATTCAAAAAGCATCCCCATTTATTTGGTTGTGCTACTGAGGTGTCAATTTGAAGTGACTGATGAAAAATATGTAGAGAACACTATTTTCTTCCAAGTAGAGGGACAAGTGATTCTATTAATAGAATAAAAACAGGAAGATAACCATAGTCAAGTACATCTTGTTTTATCTGTTAATTGTCACCATTTTTGCTTAGGGCACTAAATAGAAAGCTGCATTCTTGATCATTCCCCAAGCTATATAACCTAATGTCAATCACTTCATATTTATAATATCTGATAAGTATTTAAAACTATAAACATACTAAATATATACTATTTACATATTTTACAGAATAAAATCACTGCAATAATACTTCCTCAATGTCATCTTCTAAGCAATCAAACGCCTTAACTGCTGGTCTATTTGCTGTGTGTTGCAGTCGGTGTCTTTGGGGATTAAAGCTCTTTCCTTCACTAAAAAAAAGATCAGTGTCATTTTTAATGTTGACCATGGTGCCTTTAGCCTGAAAACCACTGTTTGTACTACTGTCTTGTTGAAAATCATTTCTCTTAGGTGGAGTGATTGTATTGACACTGCTACCAAACAGCTGCTCCATTAAATTAGACTTTCTCTCTTTCTTAGTATCAAGACTTACATTTTCCTTAGCGAGTTCATCTAAGAAGTCAATTTTTTGATTAAGCCAGCTTGGCCTCCCTGACCCTTTCCCAAAGGAAGGTACATAACTACCAAATATCAAATCATTGCTTGCACATGTGATGTCTGTAGGTTGCTGCTTCTGGATTTCTTCTTTGGTAACCATACTAAAGCGGTCAGGTTCTGGTAAACCATTAGACAATTTCTCTGTTGTCTCTGACAATTGGTATAGTTTCTTATTTTTTTCCAATATATAAGGTACAGTGACAGTATCTGTGATAATTTCTTGGGAAGCAGTCTTTATATTGTTTTGAGTTTCCCTGTCGATTTCGTACATCTTAGCAAGCAGAATTTCTTTTCGTCTTTCCTCTTCTGTTCTGTCATGATTTAGTGTCTCTTTTTCTAAAATATATATTTCTGTCTCTATCTTTACTTTTTCACTTTCAGGCAAAATACTATTTTCTTTCTTCTTTCTGTCCAATTCTTCTTTCTCCCATTCTGTAGGTTAAAATACAACATTTAGATCTATGTATTGGTTGCATTTACACATGATGCTAAACTATAGTTTAGTGTGACATACATGAGTTGCAAGAAAGCCATGGGGACATATTGTCTCTTCTTCTCCAACAAGGCTGGGAAGAGATTCAGAAGCTTTATCCTTTCCCACAGTTGCAATGTATCTTATCACCTAGGGCAACAAAGTGCTACTAACATCATACAGTGGTTCCTCAAAGTCTGTGAACCCTTTTGAATTTTCAAAACTTCTGCATAAATGTAACCTAAAACATGATCTGTTCTCCGCGCAAGTCCTAAAACTAGATTAAGAGAACCCAATTAAACAAATGAGCAAAAACATTATACTTGTACATTTATTCATTGATCCAAAGTTACATCTTTGTGTGTGGCGAAAGTATGTGAACATCTAGGATTATCAGTTCATTGGAAGGGAAAATTATTGTTAAGTAATGATTAAGTGCAACTGCATAATTCAACTTCTTAGTTATGATTTACAAGTACAATATCCTTGATTTCTAAAAAATGCAAATAGTAGTCTTTACCTATTAAGGACAAGCAAATATGCAAAGTTGGTTTTTAATAAAATTTTCAGGCTTTCTAAAATTATCTACATGCATGTGTATGAGTAGAATGGACTTGGATGTTAATAATTCTATTCATCATATAAACATATTGTAATAGAAGGACAAAAACACCAATTTCAATGGAAAAGTAGATGAACACACACCTACAAGCAAAGATTACTCAGTTCTTTAATTTGGGTAGTTCAGATACATGTACCAAAATATTTATGAAAGTCATAATAGATATCTAGTCCATCTCCTGCCTAGTGCAAGAAACCAGTCGTACAGCATCCCCAACAGATGGCCATCCAGCCTTTGTTAAGATACCTTCAGCAAAGGAGAGTCCACCACCTCCCATAACTGATCTTATCCCCTTTTGAACAACTCTTACATCAGAAAATTCTTCGGATGTCTGTCCAAAATTTGTTCTCTTGTAATTTAAACTCATTGTGACTTGTCTCATCTTCTGGAACACCACAGAACAACTCTGCTCCATCTTCTACATCAGAAGAGTCAAACATGTGACCCGCAATAATCCTGAGTGTGGCCCGAACCAGATTAAAATGCAATTGGGAAATATTTAACAAAATAAAATAAAATTACAATAAAATGTAGATACTACATTTTAAAACTAAATAATAATAAATTAAGTCACCAAACACCATAAAACTCTGGATTCACGAGGAGTCCTGCACACGTTCACCACCTCAGCTCGACCGCAGCAGCAAGGATTGCTTGGTGGTGCTGCAGCGCAGACTGAGCAGGAGCACCACATGACAGGAGTTCCTTCTCAGTCTGTGCTGCAGCAGCGCTAAATAACCTTGCTGCTGCAATTAAGTTAAGGGGGCAAGCTTGTGCCTCTACCCCAGAACAGCAGGCAGGCAACACTCTACTGGTAGAGAAGAAGGAAAGAATGCAGAAACAATGAAAGTGAGAGGGCGATCTAAATCCTTTTTGTATAATCCTTTTTTTTATTTCATTACAATATGAATTCCAATTTTCTTTTCCTGAGGAAAGGAAAGGAAAGGAAAGGAAAGGAAAGGAAAGGAAAGGAAAGGAAAGGAAAGGAAAGGAAAGGAAAGGAAAGGAAAGGAAAGGAAAGGAAGGAGCTTACAAAATATTGATTGTGGTTATCAGTGACTAGTGAATTTACATTACAATCTGCAAGCATGTATGTGTGGAGCCAGTTTGTGTTGTGGTTAAGGTGTCAGATCAGAAACCAGGAAACAGTGAGTTCTAGTCCTGCCTTGGGGACAGAGCTAGCTGGGTGACCTTGAGCCAATCACTTTCTCTCATCCGTAGGAAGAAAGAACTGCCAAGTCACTTCTAAAAAATGCTGCCAAGAAAAGTACAGGTGGCCAACATGACTTGAATACACAACTTTCAAGCGTGTATGTGATATACTATTGTACTTCCTAGTTTCTATATTAAGAAATACGTAAGTATTTTAACATGTCACAATTCCAAGTTTTTGCAATTTACTCATATTCTCATATTGTGGCGTACAAATTTGTACTTGGTTTGGGAAAAGCTGAACAAAACCATTTTTTTCTGCACATGGGACATCAGAAATTAGAGGGAACATTGCAGGGAGGGGAAAAGTGGAAGCAGTAGGCAAGGAGGAAGCTCAGAGTGGGGAGATAGACAGAATTATATCTAGTTCCTAACTGATTTTAATGTGTTGATGTATTAATAAAAAAAGAAATATATACATGTGTGGTTTTTTTAAGTCAATATGTGGCCCGCAGGGATCCTTTTGTACAGCTTCTATTTGAGTTTGACACCACTGTTCTGCATGACAGCCTTTCGGATACTTGAAAACAGCTATCATATCTCCACATAGCCTTCTCTTATACAGGCTAAACAAACTCAACACCGTTAACCATTACTCCTAAGTTTCATCTTCCTAGTCTCTCACCATCTTGCTTACTCTCTTCTATTCATGCTCCAGTTTGTCAAAGCCCTCCTAAAACGTGGTGCCCGGAACTGGATGCAATATTCTACTGGTAGGCCAGGCCAGAAAACAGAGCAATAATTTCAGGAATGCTACTGTTGTAGAGTATAATTGATTGGCTGACTATGTGCCATCAAGTCAGTGTACCTCTTAGTCACCACATAAATATTATCCACGATGATCTGTCCCCAGTCTTCCAACAGTGCACCCATTACCATTATAATTGAGTTCATCCACCTTGCTCCTGGCTGTCCTTTCTTTCCACTTTTCCCAGCATTATAGATTTCTCAAGAGAGGTGGGTTTTCACATAATGTATCTAAAATATAATAACTTGAGCCTTCTCATTGGTACTTTGAGAGAGAACTCTGGGTTGATTTTATGATCTGTTTGTAATCTTTCCTATCCGTGTATTCTCAGAAGTCTTCTCTAACACCAAAGTTCAAAAACATCAATACTCTCTAAGGTTATGTCTATACTCCTCTTCTGTTTCTGTTGAACTTCACTCTGCTGGTTTCTGATCATTGTTCCAATCTATCAAATTCCTCCTGAATTGATAGTGTCCTCTAAGCTGTGTCCTATCTTTGGATCATCTACAAATTTGACAATTATATTTTCCATCCTCTCATCCAAGTCAGTTATAAACATTCTGAATAGAACAGAGTCTAGAACAAAGCCTTGCAGTACACCACTTGCCACTTCCTTCCAGTTTCAACTAGAACCACTAGTGTATACATGTTGGATATGATTGTTCAACCAGTTCTGCATCCATCTAATGCACAGCAAAGTCCAGCCCACACTTTGTCATGTTCTCTATTAAATTTCCTGAGAGAACATTTTGTTGAACTTAAGATACACTATGGTCACTGCATTCCTGTAATTACTATAAAAAATGAAGATCAGGTTGATTTGGTATAACTTATTCTTGATAAACCTATGTAGGCCCCTGCCATGCAATGCATTATTATCTAAATGTCTACAAACCAATTCCTTAAAAACCTGTAGCAGAGTCTGTTGTAATCTGGGCTCCATATTTTCCCTTTCTGAACATTTGCTCTTCTCCAGTCCTCTAGCATTACACTCATCTTCCACGATTTCTCAAAGATCAAAGAACCAGGTTCTGAATATGTCACCCATAAACTCCTTCAAGACTCTTCTGGTCAAGGACTTGTTCATGATAGCCAGACGCTTCCTTCCAATCTTTAACTACCTTAGGTTGGCCACTCCCTCCTTGAGTCAAGTATTTGGCTTAGATCCGTTTGAGCACAATACCCCTTATGGGGGAAAAAGGCCAACACAAAGTAGAAATTAAGGAGCACGGCCCTCTCCATGTCACTTGTTATTGTCCTACAATATTTTCCTAGTAGCATACCTACTTCTTCCAAATTTAATTTAAATTAATTTATTCAATTTAGGCACCAACCTACTTCAGATGACTCTGGGAGGCTCACAATATAACAACAATAAAATACAATATGAATAATAAGAAACAAAATAAAGAACAAGAAAAATAAGAGCAACAAAAATAAAGAACTATTGACATAGCCAAAAAAATTCTTTGAATGTTTTGAATAAAAGCTCTTTGAATTGCTTTTAATTGCTTGCAAACCTAAATTCCTTTCTAACTTTCTTCATGCAAATATTACTTGCAAGTATACCTCCTTGGTGATTACACCCATCTTCCATTGTACAAAACCTTTTTAACTCTTGGTTCATTCAAAAGCTCCTGATCCATCCAGAGTTATTTCCTAAGCTACTTCCCCATTTATTTATATTTTCTCATTGGAATGATACATGGTTTTATTTCTGGCATCTTATTTTTGAGAAGGCCCCAGCAATTTTGCATTCTCTTTGACTGGGGGATTTCTGTCAATGGGTCTTATCTAGTACTTCTCTAAGGTTGTCAAAATCAGCACTCCTGAAATCTTGTGTACATGTATCCTCTTGTCTCTTTTTTCAACCTTCTGGAAAATAAAACAGCAAGACTATCAAAGAATTTTTGGAATCTTGCAATTTTGGCCAAGTTGGTTTTCTAACAGATATCTGGGTAGTTGAAATCTCCTATTATTACCATGCATTACCATGCATCTTCTTGAAAGTTCTGTAGTAACTCCAGAAGGCAGTTTCCAGACCTTCCTGGCTTGGTAGTCTATAGCACACCTCACGATAACACCTTTGTTGTTTCCTCTTCCTTGAATTTTTATCAAAATGCTTTAGAATGGACCCTTATGCTCAGATTCCTGGATCTCAATACATGTGCACATTTCCTTCAGATATAATACCACACCTCTTTCCCTTTTGTCTAGCCCAGAAGTTCCTAAAATTTCTTGGTTTGTTGCGAGTCTTAAAAGTCTAATTTTTTCACAGTGGTCCTAGGCCAAAACTCTGAACTATCTTTTTTTTAATAATAATTTCTACTGAAGTTTATAAAAAGCTAATACAAACTAAGAAAAATATAAAAAATAAA